CTGCAGACTGAAAGGTCCAGGGTTTGATTCCAGTCAAGGGCATGTACCTTGGTTGCGGGCACATCCCCAGTGGGAAGTGTGTGGGAGGCAGCTGATCGATGCTTCTCTCCCATCGATGTTTCTGGCTCTCTTTCCCTCTCCCTTCCTCTCTGTAAAAAATCAATAAAATATATTTTGAAAAAATAGCAGACCCACAAAACAGTAAAAAAATATACATATATTCCGTACACACCCAGGGCAGTCAGTGAAAAGCTTATGTGAATCCAGTACTAAGGATGAAAATTGTGGATTATACGCTTCTTTTTTAGAAAAGCAGAAAATAGTGGGATAAGAGCCTGGGAAACAGGAAAGTTAAGTTTCCATGGAAACAATCATTTACCCACAATGCCCAGTATTCCATGTGTATGAGAACTCGTGTGAGTGTAAAAATGATGGCTGACACATATCGAGCACGTGCCGGAGCACTGCTCTACGTGCTTGAGATGGAAACTCCAACACAACCAGGCCAAGGAGGGACTGTCCTCTCCTGAGTGTCAGAGGGAGAATCTCAAGATCAGGTGGGCAGTGGAGCCAGGATCAAATCCCGCCTCCCCCCTAACCTCTCCATTGTGTGGTCTTCTGAGCTATTGTGGCATAATTATAGCCAGGCCAAATTATGTGTGGCCGGGGGAGCAGGAGGGGATTTTAAATATTTCTAGTTTGGTCCCATCTTAAGATGCTGGTGTTTCACGTATGTCACCTTAATGTCATTAACAGCTGGAGATGGTAATTAATTCTTTTACAAATATTTTTTTACTAGAGGCCCAGTGCATGAAATTTGTGCACTGGTAGGGTTCCCCAGCAGCTGCCTGCTGCGGGCTGGGGCCTCCGTCCCTTCCCCCAGCTGGCCCCGCCCCCTGGTTGAACTCCCCAAGGAACTCCTGGTCGAGGGGACAATTTGCATACTATGCATTTATTATATAGGATTGATTTTTAGAGAGAGAGGAAAGGAGAGAGGGAGAGAGAGAGAGAGAGAGAGAGAGAGAGAGAAACATTGTTGTGAGAGTGAAACATCGACAGCTGCTTTCTGTGTGCCTCTACCAGGGATCAGGCCTGCAACCCAGGCATGTGCCCTAACCAGGAATCGAACCGGCAACCTTTTGGTGCATTGAAAGATGCCCAACCAACCCAGTCACATGAGCCAGGGCATAAGCAATTCTTATGAAGAAAAGAAGGACTCAAAATAAATATTTTCGAAGCTTTTACTTCCACCGTGAGATAACAGAATGCAATTACAGGATCACTCAACAGTGACACAGAGGCAGCGGGCTGCACGATGCAATGATTGATTTTTGAAATTCAATCACAAATAGTTTGTAATGTTAAACATGGGAAGAGGTTTTCCCAACGGGGACTTGGGAAAACGGGGTGCACTGAATAATATCTCTCATTTGGGGTTACTTCTTCATCCCCCACGTGGCGTAGATAGTATATTAGATATATTTTTTTTAAAAAAGAATGAGCTTTGCTGAAACTTAAAAAAAAAAGTGGGTTTTTTAAAGTTCCATGTTTTATTTTTTCTGTTTTGCTAAAACGGGAGTCTTTCACTCCCAAGGAAATGCGTTTTCCAGAACGGTCTGGACGAGGGGAGAGAGCTCCGGGAGAGAGCGGTGATGGATGGTCCTGCCCCGCCATGACTGCTGCCGCTGCCTGTGCTGCGAGGTGCTGAGCGGGTGCCTTCTGGGCCGAGGGGATCAGCACGGGGAGCACCTCTGCCCATGAAATCCCAGCCTCCCCAGGAGGCAGGTTCATCACCCTCCAGAGAGGTTCTGAGCTTGCATCTCACCGGCTTCTTTCTGCTCAGAGACCCACTCGCGGGGCTGCAGTAGGGTCTCAGCAGCCGGGGGTGGCTGTGTCAGTGCACCCCACGGACAGTACCCTTTCTTCAAGCCTCAGGTCAAGGGGAAGGCTTCTCTGACCTCCCTGACCAGATGAAGCCCCCACGGTCCCCGCACAGCCCCCTCAGAGCACAACCTCTCTCCTCGGTGGTGTGTCCACTGCAGGGTACAGTGTGTGTGTGGGGGGTGGGCTAGGTGAATATTTGAAACATCTTCTATATGGGTGTATGTGTACCAGGTGGTGAAGTAAAATATATTTCTTACCGCAGGTTGCGTAAGAAAGTTATTTCTCTAGAAGTCTTCCTTTAGAGTTGAGAAGGCCAAGGGGATACCCCAGAAGCCAGATCTATAGACCTCACCCTCATCTTGATTTCTTGTCCTATTTGGCACTGGGGTCCACCTCCTGTTTGAGTTTTTTTTCCCCTCCCCTCCCCTGCCCTCCCCTCCCCTCCCTGGAGAAAGAAATTCATGCCAAGCTGACAGTGGTTTTATTTATTTTTATCTTTTTGTTAATCCTCACCCAGGGATATTTTCCCATGGATTTTTAGAGAGAATGGAAGGGAGAGGGAAAGACAGAGAGAAACATCGATGTGAGAGAGAGAGACACATCGATTGGTTGCCTCCTGCACGCACCCTGACCAGGGCCGGGGAACCTGCAACCAAGGTACATACCCTTGATCGGAATCGAACCTGGGACCCTTGAGTTTGAGGGCCCACACTTTATCCACTCCACTGAGCCAAAGCGGCTAGGGCTGACAGTGATTTTAAAAATAAGAAACCAAGAAAAAAGGCAAAATATATTCGGAGTAACTTGTTTTGTGGGCCTTGCAGTGGAAGGTATCATAGCAATCGCTGGGGGGTGGCGGGAAGGGTTAGGGTGGCGTCCAACTGCTTTAGATTTAAGGGTGAGGCCTTCATTGACAGGGGGGGGGCGTGGAGGGTGTTGAGTACATGGATCGACTCCTTTATTCTCATCATCCTCGTCTGTAAGATGAGTGCAACACTGGCTTTGTTTTTGTTGTGCCATGTGATGGGGTGAATTATGCCCCCTCAAAATTCATGTTGCCGCTCTGACCCCTACTACAGAAGGAGACTGCTTTAGAAATAGGCTCTTCAAAGAGGCAATGCAGTTTAAAGGGGGTTGTTAGGGTGGTCCCTAAGATGACTGGTGCCCTTATGAGAAGAGGAGATTAGGACAGGGAGAGACGCCAGACAGACACGTGCACACACAGAGGGATGACCATGTGAAGACACAGCAAGAAGGCGGCCACCTGCAAGCCGAGGAGAGAGGCCTCCGGAGGAATCAAACCTGACAGCAGATCTCAGTTCAATCTAAGGAAGACTCTTCTGAGAGAGCCGTGGGCAGAAGTAACAGGCTTCCCCGGGAAGTACTCAATGCGGCTGGGTGGCCACTTCTTTGAAATGTCACAGAGGCGACTCAAGCATAGATCGGGTGTTTGGACCAGATACACTTGACCTTCCTTTCAATCCTGACATTCTCCGTACAAATGCATTGTGTTCCAGCTGAAGAACAGACTTCTGTGGTACTTGGACGCATCTCTTGTGAATTGAAAGCTGTGTGCACCATCAATAGACATGTTTGAGCTTTGCTGATTTTTTTTTTTTGAGGTTTGCTGATTTGATGGCTATCAGAAAAGCTTTAGGAAATTTACTGAGGAAAAAAAAAAGAAATACATATTCAAATATCCTGTGGCAGAGGTCAGCCACAGGATCTTGGAAATGTGGAAGGCCAACCAGCTGAGATCCCAGAGCCCCAGCGTACAGGCGTTAAGCAGCAATGAACTTGTGCTGGTCAGAATCTTCAACCGATTCTGGCCGGAACTGCCACCTCTCATTTTACAAAGCAAAGATAAATATATAAAGAAAAATGCCAAGTTTGATTTGGCTCCTGAAAGTTAATCAATCCTGAAAGGCTTTGTTAAAATTAATCCTAGTAAGCGTCGGCCCAGTAAAAACTGTAATTTCCCCACGACCACCAGTACGTGAGATTTTGGGGAAAGTCGGTAGATTTGACGGCGGTATCAGAAACATGGTATCCACAGCCACACATTGCTACAGACTATTGGGGTGCCACTGGTTTTGAAGTGCTGTCTGCCAGTATCGGCTCATCAGCGCGCACCCCTTCACGACTGGTGGCTGGGATTCTGGCCAGAAGAGCCAGGCCGGCTGAGAAAGGCCGGTCTTGGGAGGGACCGCAGGTGGCCAGAGCCAGAGGGGATTGAGAGTCGCACCCGCTGCGGGGCGAGTACGGGCACCAGGGATGGCACAGAGACAGCACGACCAGGCGACCTCGCCCCACTGGCGGCTGGGAGAGCAAACACCCTGGATCCCCAGAGGGCCCCTCCTTGGCACCCAACTTTCTGCTGCGGCTCGGATCACTCTTCCCCTGCCCTCTAACGATCGCTCCCGGGCGGCGGTTCAGAGGAACCCGTGCGT